TAGAAATGTAATGAAACTTAGAATAATATAAAAGTTGAAAATTTTAATTTACAATTAATTTTTTTGTATTAAAAAAAATTTATCTAGAATAAACAAATGTCTTTGATTTAAATTATAAAATATACATTATTCTATATCTATTATTATTTAAAATATGTTTAAATTAATAAAAAAAATCAAAAATTTCAGAATAATTGAAACTGAGGTTATGAAAAACTCATAATTTTTTCATTTGTTTTTGACTATTGATAATGTGATTTATTATATGAGTTAAGTTAATTATTAGTTTGCTTTTAATTTAAATATTTTTTTGTTTAATAAGTAATTTTAAGTTTATTATGATAAGAGTATTTTAGTTAAGTAAAATTTTTTATTTTAATATAAATTAAAAATTTATTTTTGATTTTAAATTACGTTATATTAATATATAATTGATTAAATCAAAATAATTATCAGCAAATAAATTTATTCTTTAAAAGTTCTTTCTTAAAATTCATTAATAAATTAAAAGTAAACCAAGTGAAGAATTTATTTCTATTAAAACAAAGTATAATATACTTACTAATAACTTTAACATTAAAATGAAATCTATTATATAAATTATTATAGTATTTTTCTATCAATTATAATATTTTATAGTATAAAAATTTATAAAATTTAAATTAAAACATTTTATGTGTAAGTTAATAAAGTATGTTTTTATTACTCAAAGAAATGAGATTAAATCATCTTCTTATGAACAAAATCAAATAATAAAATCTTTAAGTGATTTATGAAAATTTTTTTATGACTAAGAAGTGTGATTATTTTATAGTAAGTTAAAAAACTTGTTTTTTCTACCTAGAAAAGTTAATCATTTCTTATATTATACATCAATGATATGAATTTTTAAAAACTATATTTTACTAAAAAAATATACTTTAAAAAGTATTCATCTCACATACTAAATATTTAGTTTAGATAGATTCAAAAAAATTATTTTATTTAAAAAACAAAAATTTATACTTTTTATAACAAATTTCTTAACAAAAAAGTTGTAATTGAAATTTATACTAAATCATTCAAATATTTAGGGTGTTTATAAATGCATATATATAAGTAAATTTGTTGTTAAATACATCAAAAAATACATACTTATAAGTTTACACATATGATTGAAAATGTTTTTTAAAATTATCATTTCTTGAATAAATTTTAGAGGTAAAATTTTTTAAACTTTCTTATTCTACCTCTAGAATTATTTAATATATTGTAACAAAATATACAACTCAAAACTATCATTCTAATTATGTAAGATATTAATCATATTACATCATCTTAGTATTTGAGAAAAATTACAATTAAACCTATTTTGTGATCTTTTTATTTAATCAATTAAAAAAGATCTGTTTATAGAAATTTACATTTTTATACAATATTTATTAGTAATAAATATTTTAAAAATAGTTTTTAAATGTGATTTTAATTAAAAATTCTTATTATTTATTAATTGAATAGAAAATTTCAAAATTACATAATTAAATAATATTTAATTATAAAAATTTTTTAAAATATTTACCCCTCAAATGTTAAGAAGTATATTAAATATACTTAGATTATCAAATAAAACCTCGAACCCGGAGAATGAGTTTAATATGAATGAAATAACTATGACTGAATTATTTAAGGATGAATCATTTGGTGAGGATTATAAAAAACTAAAAGAAACGGCTCATAATTTTCATATGATGGTTTTTAATTGTCAAAATATAACCAATTTCGTTTATACCCCGCATTATAAATTTTTGTGGAAAAACACTGAATTTGAAGATATTATTTTGACTTTAAAAGAATTTTTATCAGAATTAAAGTCTATTGAAAATTCACCACATGAATTTTTAGATCTATTTAACAATATTTTAATTGAATATGAGAATTTTATTGTTTTATATAAAAAATTTGAAGATGAAATTGAAAAACATGAAATTGATAAGACATTGTTTTTTGAACATAATGAAGATTATGTAATTAATAATGTTTTTAAACTTCTTTTTAATTTTGTGATGTTTTTCAAAAGTGTTTGTGTTAATAATTATTTTAATAATTATGATGAGTTATTTATTGGTTTGAATAAAGAAGAAACTTTATCAGCGGGTATAAAATTTGCAAAATTTTTTGATAAAAAATTAAAGGAAAGAGATGTTGTTAATTAAGGCTAACAGTAATTTTGTTTTAGATTTTTAATGTTTCATTGAAATTGATGATTATGAGAAAGAAGATGTTATTTCAATCATTAAGGAAATAACATTGAAATTCTTTGAATTATCTAACATGTCAATGTTTTTAGATGATCTTAATTCAAAAATTTATAAAGCTATAATTGAATTTTATGATAATTAAATCATTTTTTACTATATTTTTAAGGTGCTTTGAAGGTAACCAAGCTGATGACAAATATCATGTAAAGAAACTTTCAGTTTTATTTCCCTATTAAATTTATCAAATTGTTTATCCTTATTTTGCAACTCATAATAATCATGGTTTTAATAAAAAATTTTCTTAAAAAAAATTAATAAATTCAAAATGTTTTATTGGCTAAAATCTATTTACTTTATATTAATATAAAATAGAATCTAAATTAATAATTATCAGATATATTTACATTTTAAAAGTTATTTCTTAACATTAACTAATAAATTAAAAGTAAACCAAGTGAAGAATTTATTTCTATTAAAACAAAACATAAAATACTTACTAAGATTTTCAAAAATAAAATTAAATCTATTGTATTAATTATTGTAGTATTTATTTTTTAATCATTTATAATACAACGGTGGAATATAAAGCTTGGTCACTAAAAAAATAAACTATAAACTATAAAAAATTCATATTTTTATAAGTAAAAACATTAAAATATATTTATCTTACACACTTCTAATTAAAAAATGAATATAATTGATAGGTAGAATAGAAATTTGAAAAAAATTAAATGAAAAAAAATTAAGCCTTTCAATTTAATGCAACTTATTTTTTCTTTTAGATTTATATAATTATTTAATTCTCTTAGGTGCAGAGTTTACTCAATTTTTACACATCTCTCAAGGTATTTAAAATCATTTATCATTAAAAAATTCTTCTAATTCTTTTAAACTTTTTGGTTTACCTTTATATACCTACATCTTTAAGTAATACCATAAATTTACTATAAAATTTAAGTTTTTGACTTTGAGATAATCAATTTAATATTTCTACATTATATTTATCAAAAATTAACTATTTAAAGTAATTTTATGCTTAAGATAGTTATCCTGTTAAAAAATATAATTATCACTAATAACAATTTACTTACTAACTTAAATAAATTTCTATTAAGATTTTAGTATAATATAATATTGTTATATTTTATCATGTAATTTCAATCCTTCTTACTCCTTTATAGCAGAAACATCCTTATGTTATATTACTTTCTTTACAGTGTTTTACAATTGATATCATAAAATTTTCTACACCTTTAAAACCTCTAAGTTTGTATACATAAACCTTATCATTAGACCCAAACAGATCTATTTTTGCTTCATCTGTAAAAAAACTTTTTACAAATAGACTTCAAAACCCTATAAATGTTTTTCATAATATTTCAATTTAGAAATAATATTTTTACTACTAAGAAGAGGTTTCTTAAAAGGTCTAAAAACCCTCAAACTAGCTAAACAAAGATATTTTTTTTACAGTTATAGTAGAAAAATTTATATTAAATTCAGTGTTAATTTCGTCATTAATCTTATTCAATTTAATTTTTGTAAAATTTTTAACTTTTTTCTTCATTTATTTTATCCGAGAATCGTTGAAAGCTTTTAGTCTTCTAAATTATTTCTTATGATTGATATTATACATATCTTTATATTTTTCAAGTTTTATTTACTTCTTAAACACTTTCTCATAATATCATTTTTGTCATATTAACTTCCTAATAACCAACAATTATAATCTTTTCAATATCAAAAAAGCGTTTACTATGTAATACAAAATTATTAGCATGTTTTTAATATCTTTGAAAGGAAAATTTAAAAAATTAAAGTCTCAAATTTCTTTTTATTTTTATAAAAATTTTTTTTAATTTCTATTTAACATAATAATTTTATTTAATTTTTAAAATTAAGTTTTAAAAATAGTATAATTTAATATTATTGCTTATGTGGGTATAAAATTTTCATAGTTTTTATATTATTTATTTGGTTACTCAATTTTTTTCCACCACTATATAAAGAAAAGTTTTTAATAAAACCTTTATATTAATAAAAAAATTAGCAAGATTTTATAAAAGAACTTATAATAAGGAAGATAATATTAAAATAACTGATGAATGTATAACGAAAGACGAACACAATTGGTAAAAACTGAAAAGAGAATTAACACATGAAATTCTGTTAACAATCGAGATTGAACAAACCCTCTCCATCTACACCTTAAAAAATTAATCATTTCTTATATTATACATCAATAATATAACTTTTTTAAACTATTTTTAGTAAGTTTACTACCCCTGTACATTAATATATGACAGAAAGATAGTTCATTATTGATAATTGGTTTTTTTATTGTTTTCCAACTTAAATTTAATTATTTTAATATTTTGGCAAGAAAAATAATTTTAACTATGAAAAATAAACAGATGACATGACACAAAAGTAATAAACAGTTTACAGAGACATATACAATAAACAGAGAAAGAATAGAATCATTAATAAACAAGGTTAGTTTGATGCCGTTTTGATTGGCGCCTACGATTGGATTGGCGCCCCAAATTATATATATATAATTTTTTTCAGTAAAATTTTAAGAAGATTAAAAATATATATTAATTATCTTTTCCTATTATTTTTAAAAAATTTTCAAAAGATTTTTCTATAAAAAGATAACAGAAACAGAAAAAGCTCAAAATGGCTTTGTAACATTCAAAAAGGTGGTTAGACTCTTATCCTTTATTATCTTCAATTTTACTTGACCCTAAATAAACTCAATTAATTGAGTCTGACAATGAATATTGAGGTCAATATTTTTTCTGAATGATTAATGGCCTTATGGCCGTTAAATACAGTACCTAGTCCAGAATAGGCTTTCCAACCATCACCGTGGATAATACTATTCTTATCCACGTGTTCAAGCAGGAGAGTAAGCAGAAAATCACGATCTCTCTTTTCCACAACAAACATTTTGACATTCCTGGATCCTTTTCGGCCATACCAAAAACATATGGTCTATTGACACATTCACCATAATTAATTTTGTGGCGAGCATCACCAGGACTCTCCATAAAGTCATCAAGAAGCAATCTGCCACGGTTGTACTTTCACGTCTTCCAAACAGATATTCGTCGATTTGTACAACTTTATCCGGTCATCCTAGTTTTCCACTCATGATATAATCATGTGTTTTCAGCCTTATGAAGTTTGCCCAACTGATAACAATACCATTTCCATTAATTTGAGTTGCAGACATGATGTATTTTACCGTCCTACCCTTAAAATAAAAAATCATCTTAATCAATGTCTTGAAAGCTGTAGCAAATCATGTTCTCTCTTCTTCATAACAAAAAAGGTATTTTCGAAGAGCGTATATTTTCTTCGACACGACTCGCATCGGAGAAAGAAGTGCATCTGATCGATTATTTCTCTTAACTCCACAGAGAGTCTGTTGCTGCCGCAAAACATACAAAGCCTTTCGACTATGGTTTTAGGCAACCAAATTCCTCTAACAAGGTCAAAAAAGATTCTTAATCCCCAAAAATCTACAACAATATTTCATAAATCATAGAAGTTATATATTTTAAAAGTTTTATTAAAAATTTTAATAGAATTTATATATATATATAATTTAGGGTTTCAATTCGATCGTGGGGCGCTTTAACCTTTTTAAGGCGACAATCGAAACAATACCCTAGTTTTTACTCATCCCTTGGCTTCGGCAGTGAGAATTTAAACTCACATACTAAATATTTTATTTAGATAAATTTTAAATTATTATTTTGCTAAAGAAACAAATAATTACACTCTTTATAACTAATTTTTTAACAAAAAGAAACTTTAAATATAAATTTATATTAAAACTGCCGAAATCAGCAGAGGATGAGTAAACAAGTTTATTTATATCTTTTGCATCATCTAAATATCCACCAGTAGTATTACCGGTATTTATATCTATCGTCTCATTATCTTCATATCTATCTTCTAAGTTATCTCTGTTCATCTTAACTTCTATGTTATAAAAATTAATTCTTAATTTATAATTTAAAAAATTTCTAAAAACGTGTTTACCTCCAATTTTACTTATGGAGTATTACGACAAAAACATTCAAATGTTTAAAATGTTTATAAATGTAAATATAAGTAAATTTATTGCTAAATACATCTCTATCTAAATACTTTGAGTTTACAGATATAAATAAAATTTTTTTGTATAAATTTTTATTTAAAAATTTATACAAAAAAATTTTATTTAAATTTTATCTTTAGAATCATTTAAATTTTAAATAAAACATACAACTCACTAATGCCATTCTAATCATATAAGAGATTAGACATATTACAACATCTTAATATCAAAAAATTATAATTAAACAGGCTTATTTTATAATCAATAGGTTTAATCAATTAAAAAAGATCTTTTTATAAAAATTTACATTTTTATAAAATATTTATCAGTAACAAAAAAACATTTTTTTCGTAATATGTAATTAAGCATATTTAATTAGTTTTTTAAATGAATGTCTTTGGAGTGAAAATTTATTAATATATCTGACATACTCCCTGATAAGGAATCAAACGTCAAAGAGAATGAATTGTTCTAGATAGAACAATTTTATGTTTAATTTTTTACCCATACAAAATTATTATATTTTGAAAAAGACAAAGAACATAAGAAATAAATAGATGTGTGAGCATACAGTAAAGATGAACAATTACCTTTGTCTAAGAACTACGAAGAAACACCAACGAGTTAATATCAATAGTTCACTCACGTCAATGTCTATAAATTTGACATAAAAATTTTACCTTTATGATAGATACAGAGTTAGAAAAGAAAACATTAAAATTATAAGATAGATGAAAAGACGAAGAAGAAAATGGAGAGATTAGAAGTACCTCTAAAGACAGGTTGAATAAATTAGTTTCGTTGCCTTCTAAGAGTTTCGGTAATTTAAAAATATTTTTAAAATCTTATTTTAATTGAAAATTATTGTTATTTATAAATTCTTTAAAAATTTCAAAATTACTTAATTAAAAAATTTTCAATTATAAAAACATTTTAAATTATTTGCCCCTAAAATGTTAAGAAGTTGTGATGGTTGAAGTCACATATTTGAAACAAAACAGTTTCAAAAGGAATATAAATTAAGAATTAAGTAAATAAATACAATGATCAAAAAGGATTTTAATTTTAACAAAGCAACAGATAAAGGTAGACAGGGCAGAAGTATATTTTATCTACATGGATTATTAAAAAATATAATCTTAGTCAGAAAATGAGATTACTGTAAATGAAACAACTATGACTAAATTATTTAAGGATGAATCATTTAGTGAGAATTATGATAAACTAAAAGAAATGGCTCATAATTTTCATATGATAGTTTTTAATTGTCAAAATATAACTAATTTCGTTTATACCCCGCATTATAAATTTTTGTGGAAAAACACTAAATTTGAAGATATTGTTTGACTTTGAAAGAATTTATATTAGAATTGAAACCTGTTGATAAAAACCCAACTCCGCTTTTAAATCTATTAAACACTGTTTTAATTAAATATGAGAGTTTCATTGTTCTATATAGAAATTTTGATGATGAAATTGAAAAACAAAGAATTGATAAGAGATTATTTTTTGAGCATTATAAAGATTATATGATCAACAATGTTTTTAATCTCTTTTTTAATAACGTGTTGTATTTAAGAATTTTTTTTGTCAATGATAATAATAGTTATGAAAAGATATTTATTAATTTGAATAAAGAAGAAACTTTATCAGCAGGTAAAAAAATTGCAAAATTTTTTAATGAAAAATTAAAGGAAAAAGGGTTTGTTTATTTGGCTACAGTGATTTTACTTTAAAATTTAAATGTTTTGTTAAAACTGATGATTATGAGAAGAGAGATATTTTTTTGATCATTAAAGAAATAACATTAGAATTCTTTAAATTATCTAATTTGTCAATACATTTAGATGATCTTAATTTAGAAATTAATGAAGGTATAACGGTATTATTTCGATTGGCGCCCCGTGATCGAATGGCACCCAAATTTTATATATATAAATTCTAAAAAAATTTAAAACATATAACCCTTATGATTTATGAGATATTGCTGTAGATTTTGTAGGAGGAAGAATCTTTTTTGACCTTCCTGGAGGTAATTGGCTGCCTAAGACCCATGGTGGAAAGGCTTTGTATGTTTTACGACAGCAACAGACTCTCTGTAAGGTCAATAAAGAGAGTCGAGAAGGTGCACTTCTTTCTCCGATGCAAGTCGTGTCGAAGAGAATATACGCTCTTAGAAAATACCTTTTTTTGTTATGAAGAAGAGAGAACACGACTTGCTACACCTGTCTAATCATTGATAAAGCTGATCTTCCCATATTTTGAAGGTAGGACGGTAAAATACATCATGTATGCAACTCAAATTAAAGGAAGTGAAGCCGTTATCAATTGGACAAACTTTATAAGGTTGGAAACTCATGATTATATTATGAGTGTAAAACTAGGAGGAGAAGGCAAAGTTGTACAAATCGCCGAATCTCTGTTTAGAGGTCGTCAAAAGTACAACCGTGGCAGATTGCTTCTTGATGACTTTATGAAGAGTCTTGATGATGCTTTCTGTAAAAATAATTATGGTGAACGTGTCAATGAACCATGGGTTTTTGGCATGGCTGAAGAAGGATCCAGGAATTTCAAAATGTTTGTTATGGAAAAGAGAGATCGTGATTCTCTGCTTCCTCTCCTACTTTAACACGTGGATAAGAATAGTATTATCTACAGTGATGTCTAGAAAAGCTTTTTCCGGACTAGGTACTGTGTTTAACGACAATAAGGTCGTTTATCATACAGAAAATTTTGTTGACCCCAATACTCGTTGCCATACTCAATTAGTTGATTGTATTTATGTCAAGCAAAATTGAAGATAATAAAGAATAAGAGAGGAACTACCCTTACAATGTTACAAAGCCATTTGAGCTTTTTCTGTTTCTGTTATCAATTTAAAGAAGAATCTTTTGAAATTTTTTTTAAAATAATAGGAAACAATAGTTAATAAACTTTATTATTATTTTATTATTTATTCAACAACCCCTATCCTTTAGGGGTTGTTGAATAAATATTTTTAATCTTTTAAATTTTTACTGAAAAAAATTATATATATATAATTTATGCGCCAATCCGATCATGGGGCGCCATTCGAAACGGTACCGGTATAACTGTGATTAATAATAATTTAATCAATTTTTAACTAATTTTCGTGGCAAATTGAATTTTACCAAATAGACATTTTGAATTTAATGATTCTATTTTTAAGAAAAAATTTTACAAACCCCAACATTTTATGATAAGTAACAATAACAACAACTAATTAAATAAATAGGCAATTTAAGACTAAGAGTTTAATTACACGGAGCTGTCTACAGCTTGGTTATCTTCAGAATACCTCAATTTTATTAAAAAATTTATTAAATTAATATACTTTTTCAACTTTTCATACTTATTTCATCCAATTTTTTGATTTCATTTTCATCAATATTCAATTTATTCATCTAATAAATACAAAACACTTTAAAAAAATTCAAAAAACTTATAGTTGAGTATAAAAAAACTTAATATTAACAACTGAACAGTAAAAATCTTTTAAAACAACATAAGTTAAAAAATCTGTTTGAGAAATGTTTTGTAAAACTTTATATTTCATTATATTTTCATCAATATAAACTAGTTTAAAAAAACCATTTACTATTAAATATTCAAAGATATTGCTATCTTGCCCTCAAGCTAGACTATTGTGGTGGTTGTTACAACCTTGCATGCTTACGTAATTATTTAAAATTGATCTCTGTATTCATATTTTATTAATTAATTTTTATGGCTTAAAATTTTTAATAAAAATTTAACAGCTTGAAATATATATATATAAACTTTTAAAAATATATATAAATTTCCAAGTTATGATAATAACTTAAAGCTATTATTATAGTTGTGATTCTCATCACAACAACTATATTTAATTTATTGCTTTGAATTGTTTATAATAAAATGTTTATTATAAATCATGATTTATTTTTAAAGTTTTAAAAAAGGAGTGTTTCAAACCATGTTTTATAAATGATATTAGTAAGATGTAACATTATGTTTATTAGCTGTGTTGGATACAACAGTTTTAAAAACAATTGTTTAACTTCTTCTTTTTGGGTGTATAAATAAAATATCCTAAAGAAGTAGATGAAAATAAGAAGTAAATTTATTACAAAAAATTTTAATCTTTTTAAAACCGCTAACCGTATCAGAACGATTAACATATTATTAAAAATTTTGTATAACAAAGTAAGGAATTAAATAAGATAGCAACTAAAAAGAAGGAATGAAAACAACAAAAAATATTAATAGTTTTTAAGGAATTGATCATTAAATTGTTAAAGACTAGTGTATTATTTATATTAAAAATGAAAAGATAGTTTATTGTTAGAACAGATGTCTCTAATAGTGTAATAGGTGCGGTTTTAAAACAAGTAGATGACAATGGTAAGGATAATATTATAAAAATTGTTAGTTAAGAGATAAAAGTTTAAGAATTAGAGTATGGCACTACAGACAGGTGTTAAAATCTGAAACAAAAGATGTCGTTGATTCAGAAAATACTATAAAAGAAAATTGAAGTAAATAAAATATAGTTTCATGAAAGATTTTTTATAGAAACAATAAAGATTACAAGAGTGATAAGAGTAGCAACAAGGAAACATTTGTAAAGATTTATAGAATCAAATCATTTAGAATTAATTATTTTATCGCGATTTGATTATAAAATTTTAACCCCCTTCGTAAATACAAAATCCTTCAAAGAAGAGTAATAGGTGGATCACCAAATTATTGTTCTAATTTGAGATTCAGTATATTAAAGGATGTAATTTTGTCTTAGATGATAAAATGTCAAGAGAAAATTTGTATATGTTAAAAATTAAAATAAGAGATAGCTGAAAAATTATTTAGGAAGTTCGTCATCTCAGTGTTTATAGTGTATTAATGTTACTAAATAGTTAATTTTAAAGAATTACACTATAAATCTATGCATTAATTAGGTAAAGAAAGTTTTAGTGTAATATTTTAACTTTTCTTGTTTGTAAAAAGAACAAAAGTTTTCAGACTTGTCTGATAATCCACAATTAGCCTTTTAAACTAATAGAAATTGAATACATAGAACCACTTCCAAGAATCATTTTTAACAGTTGTTATATCTTGTTAGCTACCGATTATGCTACTCGTTATACTAAAGGCTATGCATTTAAGATTAAATTTTAAAAGAAATACAGAAAAGGTTGGTTGAAGTTTTTATAAGGTATGGCTTTCTTAAGAAATATGTTATGACTGTGGTTTAAAATTTACGAAAATTTTAATAAAAAGAATTGCGAGGGAATAGGGTTCTTGTATGAGATATGTTATTCTTTATTCACCAAGAGATAAAGGTAACGTTGAGGGAACAAACCAAACAATTCTCGTCAAGTTGGCAAAGATTATTAATCAAAACAATGAGTGTGATAAACCATTTTAAGTGGTCTTGAATTATTATCGTGTTTAAGTGATTGAAAAAATGAAAGAAGTTTTTTTGAACTGATATTTGGTAGACAACTCTTTATAAACTAGGGTGAACACTATTAAGAAGTTCTATTTGAATCTATGAGAATTGAAGATTATTAGGGAGAACGAGAACTTTTATATTTTGCTGTTGTTGAACAAATTAAATAAGAAAACTAAAGATATGTAAAATTAATTGAATAAATAAATTTAAAAACACGAATCAAACTGAATTGAAAGAATAAAATTTATACATATACAGAGATAAAAATCAAGAAAGAAATAAAGCGGAAAATAATGATATGTTCTATTTGTTATGATTAAAGAACTAGGTAAAAGAACTTACACTATTCAATTTTTAGAAACTGGTCTTATTAAAAAGGTTGGTTATCCTGGTTTCAAATTATTTATGTATAAATACAGGAGACTAATCTTGATCTTTGTGTAGATTAACACTTTAAGAAGTGAAAATTGATACCCGGTTTAAATATTTTTGTATTTATATGATTTAATTCAATATTTGATTTACGGCTATCAAATCTCTTGATACAGATACATTAGAAATTTTTTAATTAAACTCATATATTAATTAAATGATTGACAAATATTTTATAAAAGAAATTATTATAAGAAAGAGGATGTTTAAAAAACTTGAGACTGTATAACGAAAAACGAACACAATTATGAAAAAGTGAAAAGATAATTAATACATGAAAAGTTCTTTACAGAATATAAAACAGGACCTACGCATCTAAATCTTAAAAAATTAATCATTTTTATATTATTCATCATAGAATTTTTTAAAAATCATGATTTTAATTAAAAAAAGCATCTTTTCTAATGAGCACACTACCCGGTACTATAATATGTGACAAGAAGATAGTTTATTATTGACAAGGGGTTTATTTTATTGTTTTCCAACTAAAATTTGCCTTTTTAATATTTAGGCAAGAAAAATAATTTTGTTATGAAAAATAATCAGATGACATAAAACAAAAATAACAGACAGTTTACAGAGATATATACAATAAATAGAGAGGCAAATACAACAGAACCATTAGTAAATAAGCTTACTTCTACTCATTTTAAGGCTTCGGTAGTGAGAATTTAAACTCACATGTAAAATATTTCGTTTAGATGGATTTAAAGTTATTATTTTGCTATGGAAACAAAAAAATACACTCTTTATAACTAATTTTTACAAGTACAAACTTTGAATATAAATTTATACTAAAACATTCAAATATTTAAGATGTTTATAAATGTAAATATAAGTAACTTTTTTGCTAAATATATTCCTATCTGAATGCTTTAAAGTTTACAGACATGAAGAAAAATATTTTATAAAATTATTTTTTCTTATATAAAATTTTTACTTAAAATTTTTTAAAAAATCTAATTCGAATTTTATCTTTAGAACTATTTAAATTATCCAATAAAATATACAACTCATTCATGTTATTCTAATTACATAAGAGATAAGTTATATTACATCATTTCAATGTTTAATAAAATTACAATCAAATCTATTTTGTGATCTATTTGTTTAATAATTTAAAAAAAATCTCTTTTAAAAAATTTACATTTTTATAAAGAGATTTATCAATAATAATGTTGTAAACGAAGATTTACAACTTCTAAGAAAGTGAATTTCTTAGAAAAAATCTGACTATAAAATTTTAGTAAAAATTTTACCCATCTAAAATGAGTAGTAGAGATTCAGATAAAGATAATAAATTTAGTTACAACAACAAGTTTGATAGTCAGAGCAATAATCATTTTAAAAATGGGTTTGAAATCTTACATTAATTAAAAATTCTTATTATTTATTAATTATAAAAAAAATATAAAATTACATAATTTAATAATTTCAATTTTAAAATTACGTAATTATAAAATTTTCAATTATAAAAACATTTTAAAATATTTACCCCTAAAATGTTAAGAAGTATGTTTTATCTATTTGGATTATTAAAAAATATAATCTCTAGTTCAGAGAATGAGATTACTG